AAAGGCCAAGAAGCCACTTGAAGGCCCAGGCGGAGGCTGCATCCCCCCCCAGGATGGCGACAACCTCCCCCACAGGGCTGGCCGCACGGACAAGCCTCCTGGAGGGCCACGGGGGACCGGAGCTGAGGGACTGGGCTGCCACTGTGGACGAGTGTGGCAGTTCCACTGAGAAGTAAGCGCAGAAATGAAGAAGTGACGCGTGCTCACACAAACGTGGGCACGGTGTTCGAAGCCACACTGTGAATGGCAGACGAATGGAGGAAGCAGCTACCATGTCCCCGATTGTCACTGGGCGACAAGGCCGAATCGTCCACACCACGGAGGGCAGCACTGATACACGCAGGGACACAGGGAAGCGGGACACATGTTCAAACTGGAACAAACTGGCCACACAGAACCGCGTGCTATACGCTGCGTACGTATAAAAGTGCGGAATATCACCGACAGACAGAGAGAAACACATGGGCTGGGAGGACGGGGTGGGGTTAACTTTCCATGTTACAAAAACATTCTGCAGCTAGATAGTAGTAACCGCTCACAGCATCAAGGGAACAGGAAAGCCACTAGCTGACACAGCGAAACGGGAACAACAGAAAATCTTATGGTAGACAATTCCTACCTATATAGAAATGAAATAATACAAAATAGCAGCTAAATAAATTATATTAATAGAAAGTAAAAGAGATTCAAGCAGCCTCACTGCAGGCCCCGGGATCTCTGCCCCCTTCATCAGACACGTGGGGAAGGGGACCAGGCGAGCTGCACTCAGGACAGGAGTCTGGTGGTGGCGGCACAGGGCGAGGAGGGGGGCTGGTGCGCGGCAGCCGTAGGGACTGCCTAGCAAGTGCGCCCACGTCTCTCCCAAGGACCAGGGCAGGGCTCGCCCTCCTCGCCTAAGGAATGCCAGGGCGTCAGCTCTTCGGTCCAGGACGGGCCACGGGTTCAGTGGGGGCCAACGGAGCACAGCCACACCGCTGTTCAAACGGAACGATTTCACTAGAGACCGGGCGACAGGTGACACTTCAGGAAGCAGCTGGGGTGTTCATGTGAGGGACCAGGGAGAACTCACATGATTGAGGATCTGGAAAGCTGCCAAGAGACCCTGGCACCGGAGACACAGACCTCCGGGCCACGTGGAAGCCCACGGCGGGGCAACGGGGGCTGAGCTGGCGCCTTGAGCCAGGGAGGCCGCGGGGTGAGGCCCATGGGGTCTCGAGGACAGTCAGCCTGGACCAAAGGCCTCCCACACCCCTCGCCCCACTCAGGTAAGACTGCAGATGGCAACCAGCACAGCCTGAACATGCAGTCCCTGACAGGGCTTAGCCCTGGGCTCCTACGGCGCCAGGGTACTCCTACGGAGAAGGGGCCCGGGACAGGAGTCCTCCTGTGCCACCTGCAGCTCGGCCGGACCCCTAACAACACTCGAAATGAATGGGGGACAGCGGAGGAGAAAGAAGAACCGGGGTCACGACAGGTCTGTGCCCCTGAGTTCGAGGCGGCTCCACATGCCCTGGAACCTCCCCCACCCAGTGCCCTCCAGTGGCATGCGAGCACCCAGTGTCACGGGCCCCTCCAGGAGGGCTGCTGGGCTCACAGGCGGGCAGCGGGACTGCGGGGTCCTGGGCTGCAACCAGAAGCGCCCACTGAGCGTGATTCAGAGAGGCCTCTGTGCGCTGATGAGTGGGGCTGGGCTGGGGGCTCCTCCTGGGGCTGAGTGTCAGGTCAGGTGACAACTGGCAGGGGCCCTGCACGGGGCGGTGAGACATGCGGGCTTGAGCCTGGGGTGGGAAAGGATCAGGTGGCTTCAGGATGGACACAGTTGCAGGGCCCACAATAGTCCTCACTGAGAACATCAGTCCTGATTGATTGACAGAAACATAAAATTCACACTTGGACTGCAAGATTCCCTCCCAATTTGTTCTCATGTGACCTGAGATGCACGAATTTCTTCCACCCTCCCAGTTCCCAGCCCAACCACCAATGTTGAAAACCCAGGAAATAGACACTTCTGAGAAAACAGAAATACCCTAGAGAGGGAGGGGCCCTGAGCACTGTCCCAGCATCGGCTCCCACACTGCTCAGGTCTCTACACGGACCCTTCACCTATCACCTGGGATCCCACCACCTGCACCCAAAGCCGGAAGTGATTAAGGGAGGAACATGAGAATAAAACTGGGGAACCCCAGAACTCAGGGACATGATGTCCGTGGTCAACATCCAGGATGAGACGCCGTGCCCGACCACTCATTGGTCCCTGTTTTCAACACGCCTTCTTGACATCTGCTGCCTGGGCTTGTGGCCTTCGCCTCTCTCGTGAAGGTGGGGTGTCGTGGTGGGGGCTTTCTCCATAATTGTGTGTCAGCCCCAGTTAGGCAGGCCCGATGCTCTTAGGATGGGGGCCATTTGTGTTGTGTGTGTGTGTGTGTGTTGAGGCTGATGGGGTGCATGGGGATGGCTGGGTCAGCCTTTAATCCCAGGACTTGAAGGAATATCCTGTTGCTCAAACCAGAAGTTGCATCCCTGACTCCCCATGTGGCTCCAGGCTCTATAGGGGTGAACAGAAGTGTTCTGCACACCCTGACCCTGATGGGGCCCGAGGCCAGCAGAGGGGTCAGGGCAGGGGAGAGGAGTCTGGGACCCCTGGAGAGGCTGAGTGGAGGTAGGGGCACCCTCTTGTCCGTGTCCGCTCAGGCCTGTGGAACAGGGATGGATGGTCCATTCTGTCAGCAGCAGTTGGCTGGTCGTGGTCAGGAGCTCTCCAGGCGGGTCCTGGGTCTAGCTCCTGGATCTCACAGGGACCGGTTCCAGAGCCCCTCACATCTTCTCCCAGGCTAGGGACCGGAAGATGGTGGGAGACGTGATTGGGGCCCAGACCTATGGGTCCACCGCCAAGTGCCTGAACATCTGGGCCCTGGTCTTGAGCGTCCTTCTGGCTTTGGTTCCCATCATTTTTCTCATCCAGAAAACGGTTCGCTGAGAATTTCCAGGACATTTTGATGTCACACCGAGTCATGGAGGCCACAAGTAGCTGCCCATAGCCTGAGGCTGTGAGTGTTTCACAGGTGTTTATACACAGGCGTCTACAGTGGAAGTCAATAAAGGACATGCTGTTTACTTGGGCAGAGGTTCCTGTGAGAGGCGCAGCCTGCCCCTGAGACGAAGCCCACACCCACCTGTCCACCTGCCCTGGAGGTGGGGTGGCCCTGTCCTCAGGTCTTCCCTGTACCTGGTCCCATTTTGAGGGCAATAAGTGGAAAAGGACTTGGGGTGTGGGGGTCTCTGCTCCCCAGAGGTCTGAGTCCTGACCCAGGATGGGTTCACTAGGGGAATGGTGGCACTGGAATGGTCCAGGACACTCTTGGCCTCCAAGGTCCCCATCAGCTCCAGAAGGCTGCAGGGGACATGACTTGGGGAGTCAACAGGCCACCTGTAGAAAGAGAGCCCAAGAGCTCCCTGATCTACAAGTGGAAGGAACCCTGGCCCCGATCTGGAAATAAGCGCCATACCTGGTTCTGTCGAGGTTTCCAGATGTGTGGGCAGTGAGACCTGGTCTACAGCCGGGACAGGAGCATTGGGAGTTGGGCCGATTAAGCCTGCCCCTTGCTCCCAGCACACCGGACACCTGCTGTGGACTCTCCCACCCCTCACCCATGCCTCCTTCTATGGCCCCAACAGTAGCGCCCTAACTTCAGGAGAGGGCTGGCTGGTCAGCGTCCCCTGGATAAGCCACAGGACCTCACCAGGCCGCCCCTGCGCCAGGGGTCCCATGTCTGAGCAGGAGGGCGCCCAGGCCCAGGGAAGACGCTCCTGCAGGGAGGGAGGCTGGCAGATGCGCGCCTCTTAATCCAGAAACCAGTTGCTGCAAAGTGAGGAGAGGCTGGCCACCGGCAGACACCAGAGGCAGAGATGGGGCAACGCGGCTGGATCCCTCCGCCCACAGCCGGCCCCGCCCACAGCCGGCCCCGCCCACCCAGCGCCCCGCCCGCTCCTGGCTCCGCCCACACGGCCAGTCGCCTGCATCCTGCCTCTCCAACCAGGTTCCCCGTCCGTTTCTGGCAACGCCCCACCGGCAAGGCCCCGCCCTCTGTCAACCAGCACTTTCGCAGGACCCTCCACACCCTACCCAGGCCGCCACCCACTCTCCATCCTTGCAACCCCCACCTTGGTGATAGGTGACGCCTGGTCCAGGAGCAAATACAGCCCCGACCCCGAGGAGCGGATCTGCCAGCTTCCCTGGGTCTGAGCCTGCTCAGACCTGGGGCCTTCAGGAGCAGGGACGCCCTCCTGGGGGGCATCGCCCACCACAGACAGAAGAACTTTGTGTTTTGGCTCAGGATTTCGGGTGCTGCCGTAGCGTCACAAAGGGGTGTGAGGGTCTGGTCTGTAATCCTCCTGGGTGCCAGGATGGAGGAGAACCCAGCAGGAGGAGTGTCACCACAGACTAGAGCAGCAGGACTGACCTACCACAGCTGGCCCAGCAGCCCGGCTCCCCAAGGGCAAGGCTGGTGTTGAGATGTCACCTCCCGGACAGCAGCTGTGGCCACTGCACTCTCCGACCTCCAGGGTGACGTGCGGGGCGCAGGGGCACAGCGGGAAGGGGGCCATCCCCATGTCATCTCGGGCCCGCACCGGTCTCCCCCAAGGCCTGCGGTGCGCAGCAGCTGGGGGCCCCTTCCTGGCACTGGCAGCGGCTCCAGGCAGCCCGGATAGGGAGGCTGTCTTTGGGCCAGAGCCCTTGGCTCAGGGCTAGACATGAGAGGAGAGACCCCCTCCTAGACCCGGTCAGTGTTGGTCCCCAGGGAGGCCAGAAACCAGGACATCTGAGGAATTGCGGGCCCAATCAGAGCAGCAACAGGTGGGCAGGAAGGAGGCGGGCTGTCTCAGGGACAGGCTGGGGTGGGCAGTGCCCTGCCAAGAAATGTTCACATTGTCTACACGGGGCGACTTTCTTGACCGGTGCAGACAGGTGTGTCTGTACAAAGTGGGAACATCTGGGGTGGGTGCCTGGGGCGGGGCAGCAGTGGGTGGGGAGGACTTGGTCACCTGCTGGGGACGTTGACTAGTTGCCTCTGCCACCCAGCCTGCCCGTCCCTACTGCACTGAGGGTGGTCGGCATCACAAGCACCAGAAGAATAATGAATCCAATGGTCACAAGGAGGCCCAAGACCAGGGCCCCGATGTTCAGGCACTTGGCGGTGGATGCGTAGCTCTGGGCCCCAATCACGTCTCCCACCATCTTCCGGTCCCTAGACTGGGGGAGAAGAGATGGTGAGGGGGTGTCTGGAGCCGGTCCTGGGGACAGCCAGGAGCTAAGACCCAGGTCCTCCCTGGCTGGTTCCCTGCCCAGACCAGCCCTCCACCCACCTCAGCAAGACCAGGGACACCCTCCCCTCCCTGTTCCCGGAGCCTGAGCAGGACAGGGGCCAGGTGGACCCTCCCTCAGACTCTCGGCCTCTCCAGGAGTCCCAGGGCTCCAACCTCCCTTTGTCCTGGCCCGTTGGCTGGCCCCACTGGGGGTCATCATCTTTGGCACCTTTTCCTTTTTCTGGACCAGACCTGAGGTCTGAGTTAGATATGGAGGTGATGAATTTCCCCAATTGGGAAGGAAAGAGAGCTCTTGGGATGGTGGAGACATAGCGTGGCCCTCCCACCACAGGCAACGTTCCATGCAAGCCCCACCGGGAACCCTCCCTGGGAATGAACCCCCTCCCAACAAGGCACGTCCACACAGACGAGCCCGCACCTGGAGGCCCCCACTCCCAAGGCCATTGGGTTGGAGACCTCTGGGGGCTCACACACACGTTCTAGAGAAGCCCCCCACACACGCACCTTCACGGAGTAGGCGAAGGCCACGATGCCCAGGCAGCAGGGGTTGAAGAAGACCGTGTTGAACAGGGACCAGATGATGTGGTCGGGCACTGCAGTCTCAGCCTGGATGTTGACCACGGTGGACATCACGGGCCCTGAGTTCTGCGGAGCCCCCAAGTTGGCCACCTGGAATTGCTCCTTGATCATCTCCGGCTTTGGGGAGCAGGTGTCGTCCCAGGTGAGGAAGGTGGAAGGGTCTGTAATCAGAGACCTGAGCAGTGTGGGAGCCGATGCTGGGACAATGCTCAGGGTTCCTCCCTCTCTAAGGTATTTCTATTTTCTCAGAGTGTCTATTTCCTGGTGTTTGTAAGTTGGTAATTCACTGGTTACTAGGAATGTTAAAATGAATGTGTATCTTATAAAACTGTATGGCCTTAGTCTCCAGGGTGTGACACAGCATTGCTATTCTCAAGGTCCTGCTAAGCATCCCTTCCTGGGTGAACAAACACAGACCTGGATTATAGCCTTGCTGGAGAGAACACCTGAGCTAATGATTAGTCGAGTCGTGGATACATAGACTCTCGTCATCTTATTTTAAATTTAAATTGTATTTAGTATTTTAGTATAATTTTTATTTTTTTTTTATCCTCACCCGAGGACATTTTTGCATTTATCTTCAGATAGAGTGGGAGGGAGAGAGAGGAACAGAGAGAGAGAGAGAGAAACATCGATGTGAAAGAGAGACATTGAGTGGTCATCACCCACACGACCCCAACCAGGGCCAGGACAAACCGCAACCAAGGCACGCGCCCTTAGCGGAACCGAATCCGGGACTCTCTGGTCCACAGGTCGGCGCTCTAACTGCTGAGCCAAACCGGCCAGGGCTAAATTTTATCTTTTCACAGGGAAAAGGTGGTCACAAGCGGGCCTCTGAGCAACGGTGTCCCTACCATCGGGGACCTTGTCACAGCTTTGAGTTCTTCCCGTGGACCTACCAAATCAACCACCAGCTGCAGCCAAGCAGCTGTTTTAAGAAATCGTCCAAGTGATTCTGACGTTCAAGTTTCAGAGACACCAACACAAAGAGATGCAAACTGCTTATCAATAGCTAGATTAAAATGTGGTCTTAATAGTCCTGGTAGACTTTAAATGTGGCATATAGACTGTCTTTATTGGACAGGGATGGCTGTCCACTATAAACTGTTCTAGAACTACAGTCTGGCATCCACGGCTCTGTCCCTGTGTGTGCCAATGTTGCAGAAGAGTGGCCATGTCGCTTTAAGGAATAGTTCACCTGAAGGCAGGTGAGCTCAATGTGGTCCAATCCACAGTGTCTTCTGACCTTGGGTGTGTTTTCACACTTGGTCATACGGCTCAGAGGGCCATGGTTTAGCTGATTCGTAGGTGTCTTATTATAGCCACTTTCAGGCTTTTTCTGAGACCGCAGAAGTTTTTTTTATCTTCACCCAAGGACATTTCTTCCATTTTTTGTTTAGATAGAGTGGGAGGGAAAGAGAGGAAAAGAGAGAAAAACATCGATGTGAAAGGGACACATCGAGTGGCTGCCTCCCGCACAACCCAACCAGGGCCGGGGACAAACTGCAACCGAGGTACGTGCCCTTAGTGGGAACCGAAACCCGGTCTCTCTGGACCACAGGCCGACGCTCTAACTGCGGAGCCAAACCGGCCAGGGCAGAAGATTTTTTTTAAAGGAAACAGAGAGGGTCTGATGAGAATGTTGGGGGCAGGCTTCGAGGATGGGGATGCTGCATTTTTTCTTTAACCGGCCCCCACTCCCACTTCCAGATTCATACAGGGGCCACCACAGCCGAAAGTGTCCTCTCCCCTCCACCCCCAGACTGCTACAGCTTCCCTCTGGACTCATTGTGGAGGTTCTTCCCTCCCCCAAGTCAGGTGCCACAACCCCACCTCCGTAGGGTGGTCCCCGAAGACCAGCACACCCGGACCCTTGGCGAGGTGGTGTGTTCCTTTGTTCCTATACCTTCCGCGAGGTTGTGCCCAGCTTTCTGGTCCTCCCCGGCGGGCGGTGGACGGCAGCCACTGTCAGCGGCCCTGCTGAGCAGGCTCCGGCCCTTCGGAGCATTGACCCAGGGGACGGGCTGCCCCTCGCCGCTTTGCGTTGCTGCAGCTTGAAGACGCGGCAGCGCCGAAGGCAGCCGAGTGCCGTCGGGGGCCCTGCCGCCCGGGTGCGTCCCCCTGCGCGCCCCCGGCACGGTGTCGTCCGCAGCAGCGGCTTGGGTTTGCTCCTCTGCCCAGTTCCCAGTCCGCTTCTTTGACCCATTTTCTGTCCCAGCTGTTGCCTTTTCTCATCCTTGCAGGTTCCAGACCCCACTGCCCCGTCCGCCTGCTCTGTCCGCTGCGGTGCCGCCCACGCCTCCCACCCGGGGCTCGGTTTTACCCTTCGGGAGTGTCTGCTGATATCACAGTTTAATACACTTGAAAGAATCAGTCTTGCCCTTGAATTGTGCGTGCTGCTCGGGTCTTTCTGAAGAAACCCTTTTCTACTTCAAGATCGTGAGCACATTGCTCCGTTTCCTGTCCTGATGCGACCCGGCCCTGCCCGCTGGAGCCGACGTCTGAGCACCGGTCCCGGTGGGAGCGCAGCGCCCCGTCCGCCCAGAGGGCGCCTGTGGTCCCGCGGCTGTGCGGCAAGTCCGCGCTTCTCCACGGCGCCTGTCTCAGACCAGCGGTCCTTGCAGATGAGACTCCGTCTGGGCTCTCTATCCTGTTCCGCTTGTTAACCCATGTTCCTTGCACTGACCCCGAACTGTCTTCATTACCAAGGGCCACCCAGTGCCGGACACCCTGCGGGGCACGTCCTCCCCCTTTGATCGTTTGGTGTTTCCGCTGTTCTGCTGTCTTACAAATGTCACCTTCCAGTCGCCCACTCCGGCGGTGTGCCAGCAGAGGGCCCTCACCTGCCCTGCTCCTCGGCTGCCCCGGAGCCTCTGTTACCTTCCGCCAGGTGGGCAATCCTTCATTCTGCTCAATGCGTCCCTGTGTGTCCCCTGCTGGAGTGAAATCTCTCCGGCAGTCCTGGAGGGCTTTATTTTTATGTATTTATTTTATCCTCACCGGGGATGTTTATTGATTTTAGAGAGAGAAGATTTTAGGGAGAGGGAGAGAGAAACATGGATCCATTGCCTCTCGTTCGTGCCCTGACCGGGAATTGAGCTGACAACCTTTCAGTGTGCAGGACAGTGCCCAGCCACCTGAGCCACTCTGGCTGGGCTATTTTTTTTTTTAAATATGTTTTTGTTATTATTATTTGTTTATTTATTTATTTTGTTTATTATTTTTAGAGAGAATGGGAGGGAGAGGGAGAGAGAGATAGAAACATCAATGAGAGAGAACATGGATTGGCCCCCTCCTGCCTGCCCCCCACTGGGGATCGGGCCCATAACCTGGGCATGTGCCCTGACCTTGAACTGGCAACCTCCTGGTGCTGGGTCAGTGCTCAACCACTGAGCCACATCGGTTGGGCTAAATATGTTTTTATTGATTTCTTAGAAAGGAAGAGAGAGAGGTAGACACATCAATGTGAGCAACATTGACCAGCTGCCTCCTGGGTGCCCCCTGCTGGGGATTGAACCCGAAACCCGAGCATGTGCTCTGACTGGGAATCGAACCGGGACCTCTCAGTCCACGGGGACGCTCAAGCCACTGAGCCACCCCGGCCAGGCTGCATTGTGTTTTCAAATAGTTAACGTGAGAACATTCCCTGGGTACCGGAAAGCACTGGCGGTTTGGGGAAGAGGAACAAAATGTACTGCTGGGAGGGGAAGGGCCAGAGGAATAAATGCCCCGCGCTCACCTTCCCCACGCCCATCCCAGGCCCCTGAGCTCCTCTGGTGTCCGGAATTCCAGGTCCCGGGGACCTCCTGAGCCATCCCGCAGGACTGGGACTCATGACCAGGACAGCTTCTGGGTCTCTAAGGGTGTATCACTCTGCTGATTGGAAAGATTTCCCCAACAAGGCCTTGGGCACTTTTTACCTTCTCCACAAGGTGATGTCTTTGAGTGTCACAACCAGGCTGTGTTGTCCTGAGGGGCAGCATTCAGAGTGCAGCAGGAGTCCCCCTGCACCCACCCGCACCCCTTGGACTCGGCACACTCGAGACTGGCACCATCGGCTTCGTTGTGTGGATGAAGGGACTCCGGATCGCAGATGTGCCCATGGCCCCGGGACCCACGGTCAGCAGGAGGGAGAACTGAGATGTGCCCACCCCCAGAGGCTCTAAACCAGGGCTCTGTCCCCGGCTGGGCTGTCCCTCAAGGCCTGGCTGCCCCATTGGGGTTCACATGCACCTGTCCTGCTGGACGGGGTGTTCCTTGGGTGCAGGGCTGGGTGTGTGTGAAGGGGGTTGGGCTGTGGGCTCAGTTCCTGCTGCTCTGCATCTTGACTGTGCAACCCGGATCATGACTTAGCCTCTCTGAGCCTCAGTTTGTTAGTCTGTAAAGGGGGCTGGGACCTATTCCCACCCATGCAGGTGGTGAGTGCTCCAGTGTACACGGTGCCCCAGGGGTTCTGGGGGCGGGCAGCCAGAGTTGTTCCAGGTCAGGGAGGGACTGGAGACAGGACCCAAGCAGGACAAAGGCTGCAGACCAACTCCAAGGACCCCTCCCAGGGCGGGGACCTGGCCTCACCCTGGGCAGTGCTCTTCGGTGACAGATGAGTCTGACCTGGGCCAGAGGGAAGTGGTCTGGGCAGATGGGGGCCACAGTGCAGACCTCGGTGCTGTGGGGCAGCTGGCACCTGCCTCCGGTGTCATCTGGAACACTTGGGTCCCATGTTCTCTTCCTGGGCACCGGGGAAGACACTGCCCAGAGCCCTTGCTGTGGACAGGACCAGTGGCTGGTTCCGGAATGTGGTGACTAGGGGCCAGAGGTGGCCATATACAGGTTTGTGAAATCATGGGACACACGTTATTTACATAGAGGGTGGTTTTTCCTTCCAACTTTTCACTATGAAATTTTTCAAAATGAAATTCAAAGCTGAATTCTACAGTGAGAGCCAAAGGTGTGTGGTGTCCTGAGAAAGCCTGAAATCGGCCACAGTGGGGTCCAAACACCATAAAGCTGCAAACACTGCAGATGGAACTGTCCCTCAGGTCGCTGACTACGTCTCAACTCACAAGGTCGGGGGGAATCCCTGATTCAGAATCTCCCTCTACATCCTCTGCTCCCACCCCTTCTCCCGG